AATCCCAACAGGAATTGACTTCTCTAAATAAGACCTAAATTGGCTACGAACAGTGCACCCAGTGCTTTCATTTTACATGTACTCAGTCCATGCACATACTGAGTAATGGTAACTTTTCTGCTTCTTAAAGTCACATTCCTGCTAGTCTGCTTATACATGTGTCACTGCTGGTCATGTAGTACCAGTAAACTACTGTGAATTATTGCTGACAGTCTTGCGCAGATATGGATTCATCATTTTGTTTTTAATTATGAATAAACGGATTCCTTGTACGTTTAACCATGTTTGGGGCATTACTTGGACCATGACCAAATATAATAGTAATAAATAATAATAAAAAAGAAACATTTTCTATATAAGCGCTTAATTCGAGAGCGGGTGGCAAATATAAGAAAAGAGAATAAAAAAGAAATAAGGCGAAATCTTTTTAGATAGCTCAACACGTCAGAATAGATATGTTGCAGACTCGAGCTTTGGGGATTCTTATTTTCGAATTATTTTACTGCCATAAATGGTGTGAATGGCAAACGAACCTGAAATATTTTTAATTGTGGCTTTTGGGCTTTCTTCAGGATTTTTATTTCACTCTATTTAACCACCACATCAACGTTATTTGTACCGAGTATTTATAATTCAGATAGGAGTTTGCCATATGACCTATACTGTGCTTCTCCGGCGTAAAACAGAACAAAAAAAATCGAACATAACAAAACGATATATTCGAGAAAGATACAATTAAAATTCAATTTTCGATCAGTATGTTTATTGGGTATGTTCGCCTTTGATCCACATGCATTATGTCTGCAACTGGAATAATAGAGATTATAGATATAATAATTTTGTCATAATCGGATTTCAGTTTAATAAGTTTCATTGATACAAAATATAACCTTATTCGGTTTTTGCTTATCTTCTTCTTTTTTCTTTTAAACACAATAAAAATGTTCTTATCAATTTTGTCCTTTGTATCTCTCCGCAAATGCATCTAGATATACAGGAGGTTGAGTTATAGACACTTTCCTAATAGGCCTTACCTGGCGAGCTGAAGCTTATAAAATATAACATTTAAGTATCAAATATAACATCTCAAGTTACTTTTGTTTATTTGTTCCTATACGTACCGGTATGACATTTGCAACATGTGCATACGTTTAGATGTAAAAATCAGCTGATATAGATAAATGGACGAAATGACATACTTCTATATCCGTTGATGTACGGCTATGTTATTATGAGAATATGCATAATTTTAGATAATGATAATGATATATACTTGGACAGAACAAGTGTGATATTGCTATTTACAAAAAGAAAAAAAAACAATCTTACATGCTCTTTTTAAAGATGTGTTTGCTTTAATAAAAAGTAAACAGTCATACGTAGTCCCCGCCCGTCGGTGGCTCTTGTTTAAAAAGCAAACAATTTGTGAAATAGGAAATTATTCCGCGTTAAGACCAATCATTTGCCATACGACCGGAGTCAATCGCACTTTCCCAAACAAGTTAGTTATGCTACTATGTGTTCTCATTTGAACTAAGCTTTTTTGAATGAAGTACAAACAAGAGCATTAAATGGTGATCAAACAGTTTGGAGGTCGGACAAGAGGAATACTTTAAAATCGAATTATGCAAATGCGCATCCGAATGACATTTATGTTTTAATCAACAAGCTGATCAAGATGAGCATTACTCAGACGAAAGAAGCAGGCGAACTTTTATATTTGTGTATTTTCATCCAATGGTTCAAAACTCTCTCTTTACATAATATATATATATATATATATATATATATATATATATATATATATATATATATATATATATATATATATATATATATATATATATATATATATATATATATATATATATATATCGGACATCTTCCCAATTCTCCAAGTACATCCATATTTGGTGTAGAAATTTTAACACCAAGAACTTTATTTGAATTCTATGTAGAACATCTGTATTATAGTTACCAGCGGTTGTACCTCTCTGTCAAGAATAACAGTTTAGTCTTAACATAGAACTGTATTCTTGAGAAGATTGAATATAGAATGTTTGCAGCTTTAAATGCATGCTCTGATAAAGATTTTATTGCATATATTCAGATAATTTAAATGCGCCTCTGACAGCGCAACTAATCAACGTTTTCGCTAACATGATTCACGAACAATATTGAAAGTATGGGCGAGAGTGGTTCACCTTGCTTTAATCCAAGTGAAACATAAAATAATTAGATAAGTTTGCATGCGTCTTAACACGAGCTGAGACTTTGCAATAAACAGCCTTCAACATACTCAGCATTTTGCTGCTAACACCAATTTGAAATAAATGGTACCACAGTGCATCTCGAATAATCGCATCGAATGCTCTTTCGTAATCGATTAAGGCACAATAAAGCGATTTATTTTGTGAAATCAATTTTTGAGATAAGCTATGCAAAATATATAGACCATCTACTGTGCTCCTGTTACTACAAAATCCAAACAGCGTATCTTTAAAAAAAATAATTCACACCACTTATCTTATTGATTTCTAAAATATAAAGAAAATAGCTTAGCCATGGTACTGATAAGTGAAATTCCTCGATAATTATTGGGATCAATTTTATCCCCAATTTTCTGACTAAAATGCCCTTTGTTAAACGCCCTCACTATATATTTTGTTCAAAACTCGTACTAAAAAGATGACACATGTCTTGGCATTAATGTAAACGATCTATGTCAGGCGCTTAAGTTCGAGACAACAAGGAAATAAATTTACCCATCTCATTTTCATCGAAAGGTTTCTATATTATATCTATATAATCTATATAATATACAGTATCTATATTATCTTTTCCAATATGAGAAAATTCATTGTGAGATAAGTCATTTAACATTGCATGAAATAAAATATCAGCAACAGAAGATTTAGCAAGGAAGATTTCTTAATCAGTCAAATGTATGTACGTGTTTAATTTCATTTGTTGCCAAATGTAGTCTTGTGTTATTACCTATTACTGTGCACAAAACTGCTTATATCCGATCAATACGTAGCTGCAAAATAACCATTGTAGTTGCCCAGAGCATCGATCAATATAGGTTAAACAACTCTGTACTCGAACCAAGATAATTAAGCATCGTATTCAAAAACGCATACTAAATTCATAGAAAAAACCGTGTGGATGTTTGTGTCTGCTTTGTGTCTGCTTATCGAAGGCTCATCATGGAATAAAAGTATTTTATCTATTGAATACATTAACATTTTACCCTTTACTATCACATTGTTGACAAATAAACGGGATGATTAAGTGTAAACAATACATGTATATTAAGCACCTTTAGAACATAAAAATCATTCATATTTATTCATCATAAACGTTGCAAAAATCTTCGCTGTATTTTAAATAATAAGACTGAATGTAAATCATTGCAACAAAATGAAAATATTTATAGTTTCAAGAATAAAGCGTATGTCGCAGGTGACAGGTTTTTGTACAAACACATACGATATATCAATTCAATGAAATTTGACTAACATAAGCAAAATAATGAATTACAAAAATAAAAAGTGAAAAATAGTCCAAATACATAAGTGTTTTTTTCTTCAAATTTAAAACTGAACTGACTTAAAGAAAAAATTGATAATACAATATGAGACACAGATATAAAAACAAAGTGCACATTCAGAGTAGAAATTTGCCATTCCCATTATCATATTGAACATATTTTCAAGTCGCCAAAGAAAACTGGGTTATCAAAAATTAGTTTCATCTGAGTGCAATTTATTTTTTTACTATCCGGCTGCAAGAGTTTTTTAAGTTCTGATCAACTGTCGATCGCATCTGGAGAAAGTGTGATCCCTCGGAAGTTTTAATCACCACAAAATATGAAAATTCTTGAAGTATTGTTGTCATGAACAACTTCACAGTTCATATATCAGTTTGCTAGAATTTACAATGCAATTAATATCATCTTGTTTCCCTTAAATACTTACTAATTTGTTGCCTAATAATTTATCATTACCATGAAGAAAAAGGGTGTTGATACTTAGCCAATAAATACAGTGGGTCTCTTGTACTGTACAACATTGAATAAAATAAGAAAATATATAACGGAAAAGCAATTTCTGGATAAGCAGAGTCATTCGAAAAATATGATGTCAACCGATTTAATAAACCAATTTACTATGAACATACACTACAGTGTATTCACGTATGTCAAATTCTGATGACTGAAATGTGTGTGACGGTTGGGGGTGCGTCGAATAGATAGTTTGCTTCTTTCTTGAAATTTAGCAATAAAAATGAGGAATTGATTTCTAAATAAATATGTGGATGTCTCAGTCATTCGTAAATGAATTATTGTTTTAACAAGAAACAGTTTGCATTGCTGCATAGCATGTAGTCTATATATGTACATGTACGCGTATAGCACGTTACGCATTGTACAGCTGTTTCATATCCACAAGAAAGACATTTCGAATTCAAACAAAACCCGATATATTTGATACATTAAGATGGGAATGCTTCATATTTATTCTGATAACAGCAGATGTGTTTGTTTGTTTGGACTTAACGCCACATTGACACGTTACTGGTCATACCGCGCCGACAGTGTAACTATGAAAAAATGAATACAGGAAAACACGGTGTAGAAGTATACATATTTCCGTTAGATATTGTGGTAGAAAAAACAAACATTTGTTTTAGTTTTATATTGACGGAAACATGTGCAAGACATGAAAATTTGTATTGCATTTCTTTTCACAGCCTTATAAATCGCATGCATAAACAATTCAGATGGCCCATCTTTTTGCACATGCACGAGGACATACAATAACAATTATACAATAATTGTATCCTGCAATATTCAAACTGTAACAAAAAGTATTAAAAAGAACATAGAAACAAGACGGAAAGAAAGAAACAATGAAAAAAAAACCATACCGAAAAGTCTATAATAATACCATTTTAATAACTTAAAGATTGTATATTAGGCAATAAATATGATATTCCTATACTTTGGTTGGCATGCGTTATAAGCCTTTAAACTAAAAGGCAGCTTAAAGGCAAAATTGTTATTTCATGTAGTACTAGTTCGATGAGTATATATAACGGGCAACAATATAGATTAACACGTGTTAGACACATCAACGATTCATGCAGAAGATGATGCTTTGGACGGTTCTTTTGTTATATGCTTTGAGTAACAAAGGTAAGTTATTGTGATCATAACAAAATTAATGCTAGTAATCGTTCAGTTGAGTGCCTTAAGGTTACTACGTCATTTAAAAGGAGTTTGAATAGTTTTATCTTAAACATTTATATGTTTTATTAACGACAACTCTTGTTTACATTAATTTTATTAGTTTACTATATATTAGAGATATTCACAGTATTTTTTCCTTAGCTTTAACATCAATCTTATTTATTTCTCTGTCTTGTTCACTTTTAAATTATGACAATTATTTTTTAACCTTCTGTTTATCAGAGATGAGCGAAGTATCATTATATCACTTTTGTGGTATTTGCAATACATGTATAGGCAATGATAACAATCCTTTTTAACTTTAGCATTATATAACGGAATTTCAATTTCTTAAGATGCTGTAGTATTTTAGTTAATGTTTTACTTCGATTTTTCCTTTTGTAGCTTGTGTTGTTGCTATCGAGCAAGAATCAAGCAAGGTAAATTAAAACAAATATATGCATATATATACACTGGTATTTTAAATTGTAACGCTAACTTATTAACATGATATAGCAACAGGATGGTATTGCTTACTTTAGCTGACGCAAAATATGTTAAACCTATGGCCCTGTAAAGGGATATTGTACTTTCGAAAAGGGATTCAAATGTTTTGATTATGTTGACTTCGAACCCTTACCTTCACTGTTGTGCATGCCATAAAACCTAAAATCCCAGTTCCATATCTATTAGACGGATTTGCACAAAAAAAAAATACAATGATAAAACCTAGGGGCAAACATGAGTTCAACTGAAACTGAATTCGATGTCAACTGTGTTACTATTGATCTCTTTGATACATTGCAAATTATGGACAAATATGAATGCTATTGAATTTGATATCAAATTTGTTACTTATGCTTAAAAATGTAAAATATGCGCTGTCAAATTAATTCATTTTCTTCAGGCGAATGATTTCCTTATTGAAAAGTGGGGTAAATGGTTTTATTTAGATGATTTCAATCAGGATGGAATACTGTCATTGGATGACATTAAAATGTTTGCGTAAGTGAAAAATACTTTTAAAAATTTTATTAGAGTATCAAAATAAACTATACAGGATCAATAGATTAATGTATTGTTTATAAAGAATAAAGCCTTATGTCAATACCACTTGAGTAATAATATAGACAAAGACTCGGTCTCACGGAGAGTTTTACAAAGCATATGAAATAATATATACAAACATACGAATTTCTTTTTATTTCATGTTAGCGTCATATTGATACATTTGAATACTTGTCAGCAAAAATTCTTTACACTAAATTAATGTCGATATTAAAATAAGGTTAATGTTTAGTATCTAACAACTATATATTCGTTTCCAAAACACTAATAAGTATCCTTTATATTTGATTCTTGCCCTGCTTGGTGCTTGAATGTGTAGCAGGGGCATATCAGGACTTTGTTTTGATGATTTTTCATCATATTGGTGTTTTTATTACAGTGAAAATTATAAAGCTCGTAATGAGCTGAGCGATAAGCAATTGAAAACGATCAAGCAAAAGATGGATAGACTGTGGAAGACATTTTATTTTACAAACAAGAAAGAAATCTCCAAAGACGACTTTATAAACATGATGAAACAAAGGTATGAATCCAACACAGCTGCTTTTATTGAGATGGTGCTTGTGTTTTCAACAATTTGGTGCGAAGTGATAGACTTGAATGGAGACAAATTTCTTTCAAAAGATGAATTCATTCTGAACTTTGTTGCTCAAACGCATAACAATATCCGAAAAGACGAGCAGTTTTTCTACACGTTTCAGCCAATAAATGAACGTGTTCCAAATGAAGATATCATAGCATATTTTGTTCGCTTTGGAACTGAGTCCAATAGGTCAAAATCGGACGTTGTCTTAAATGCAGTTGATTCCGGTGTTTAACTAACGATTTTTTCTTTACATATTTCTTGTAATTAATTTGAAATGTGATAATAAATCATTTATTCGCATATCAATATATAAGCGTCCATCTATTTACGAAAACATTATTCATTTTAGTTGTAAAATGTTTATTAAATATTTATAATAATAAACAGATGTTCCTGTTGGTACAAAATAACTGATAGCAATATCGTGTATAGTGACCAAAAACGAAAAAAAATCATAATGGCCCCAATGCAACCATTTTATTCCACTATCACAGCAAAAAGCGGACATAATGTCAGTGCATAAACCTTCAATATTTATATTTTTTTATCATTATAGTTTAGTAATAATAAAACAAGAAAATATGTTTCTTAAACTTTTTAAATTTGTTAAACTGACACGAAAACAGACACAAACACGAACTTTTTTATTGATGTTACCAAAAATTATAACATTCGCGATACAAACAGGACATATTTGTAACATACCTTAGACTGCATCATGTTGCTGTAAATCGGTTGGACTTCTTTCTAACGTAATAGTCCGGTTCTTGTGCCAAGTTTTGAGTTACAATGGCCTAAATTGGACTTTGTAACCCCTGTAAGGAGTTATTTATGCAAGCATCTGTGAGTTTTAAAAGACTAATAAGGAGAAAAGAACGTGTCACTCACTTTGAGTATGAGTTTCAAAGTCTAAGAACGAGTAAACGAGAAATAGAAGCACTATTGGTTTTTTTTTATTTAAAAAAATCTCCTAAATTAAAAAAAAATAAAATCCGAATTAAAACTCCATACGTCCTTATATTGAGTATGAAAAGCCAAATGAATGGAACAAATCATAATTAAGGCATTTGGTTATTCAATGAAGGTAATAATCGGAGGCCGAAATTAACCATACAGATTTAAATGCATGGTGCAATGGTATATGTACTGATGAACTCTCATTCAAAGAACTATTTGTACGGGATAACATGCTCGTTGTATGGGATAACATGCTCGAATATTGCTTGTTAGATAAATAACCGTATCAATATATTTTCATCTCACATTTACTACGACACAAATATTAAATATGTTGATCAGGAAAGGTGCCTGCCATTTCTTGGTTTGGATGTCTTTTCTACAATATTTTTTGTACATAGCTTTTGTTTACTAGTATTCGTTGGTTATTTTCCCGCCTGTCCAGATGGCCATCTGAGAACGTGTTCACGTCCTGTTAAGAATGTTCAAGAGGGACCTCAATGTAAGTAAATCTGTAATGGTCAATTTAAAATTATAAACACAAAATATGAGAATCACACTGGCGATGACTTGAAGTAGCAAACTGTTATTAGGAACTTGTTATAAATTCACGATCACATGTTAAACTTCTTAATGTTCTATGATAAATTTTGCAGCAGTCGATTGCAGGATAAAGATAATTTAACCAAGCGAACAATTAGCATTGCAAATACGTTAATAAGATGGTGACATGGTGACATCAATTATCAAGTTCCATATCAATGTAAGAGCCTTGGAAATATATTTTCTTTTGATGAAAAAACGCCGAAACTATTGTGAATGGAAAACAGTTGAAAGACTTTCTGTTTATTTCAGTCACTGTTATAAGTGAGGTTACATAGATGTTATAATGTTGTTACTTTGTTGTTACACAAGTGTTTTTTAGTTACGAGAATTGTGGGTGGAATGAGAATTTCATACACAATGAAATGCAATTAAAAAACTACGAAAGACCGGTGATGACATTTCACGTTCACGAATTCATGATTTCAAGATTTTATTTCATTATTTTTAGAGTGAAATGTTGAATTTCTTAATCGTGAATTCGTGAATTCATGAATTCGCGATTTCATAATTTCACGATTTCTCTTAAAAACCTGAATAAATGAAAAAATGAAATCGTGAAATAATGAAATCGTGAATTCATGAATTCACGAATTCACAATTTCATTTCTTAAGTGAATGAAAAAAGAAATCGTGTAATTATGAAATCGCGAATTCATGAATTCACGATTTCATTTTATAAAGTGAAATTTCATAATTTCACGATTTCTCTTAAAAACCTGAATAAATGAAATAATGAAATCGTGAATTCATGAATTCACGAATTCACAATTTCATCTCTTAAGTGAATGAAAAAAGAAATCGTGAAATTATGAAATCGCGAATTCATGAATTCACGATTTCATTATTTCATTTATTCAGGGTTTTTAAGAGAAATCGTGAAATAATGAAATCGCGAATTCATGAACTCACGATTTAATTATTTCACGAATTTACTATAAAAAATGAAATCGTGAATTCGTGAATTCATGATTTCACGATTTCATTTATTAAGTTTTTTTTAAGAAAAGGGGAAATAATGAATTTTACGTTTAAAAATTAAATTTTTTACACTTAAAAGTAATAAAATTTTAAAATTTTGAAACATGTTTTTGTAGGGAAATTTTAAGGTTTTCGTAAAAAAACTATCTAAAATTGTTTCAAATTTTAGGATGTTACAAGTTTACACCCAAAGCTCTTAAAAAAGGCCCAGAAGTCAGAAAAATTGGGTCACATAGATGCAACAAGGTTCTTACATAGTAAATGTAGTTAAAACGTCATTAGAAATATTACGAAGATTGGGAGTAGAATGAAAATTCTAAAAAAAATGTATTGTTACAATTGTTGTAGCAGACGCCCTCAAATGATCAGAAATTGAAAATAATTTCACATAGATGTTACAATGTTGCTTTGTAGAACATTGTAAAAATTATGCTAGCACTGGGAATGAAACACAATTTCACACATAATTGTAAATAATCTTGCAGATATTAAAATTATTACAGCAAAACCACAAAATATCCATAGTATGTAAAGTATAATAATTGTTACAGCGTTTTGACTTCCGTTACGCAGTTAAGAGTCCCTTTGAAATAGATGTTTCAAACTAACTTATTATCTAAATTTAAATAAAACCGCTAGACCAATATTTTGACAATAACCATTAACATTGTTCATTCTTACAAAAATAGAGATTTAATGTTTTACACTATTCTATAATTATTATAATAGAACTTTTCTTATTTTATTGTTTTTTTTTTAATATATTTTCTAACAATGCTTCATTAAAAAAAACCCAAAAAAAAACCAAAAGAAACCAAAATCCAAATTGAAATTAACTTTCAATTTTTTCGAATGTCAAAAATATTTAAAATTAAAAAGTGAAGGGGGGGTGGGGGGTAAAGTTCTTTTGATTTTTTCCTCCCCGTAAATACATATGACGCAAAATTCCAAAAAAAAATTTTCAATGATTAGTCTTTTGTAAATAAATTATTAATGTAACATGAACATGTTGGCATTGCTGCCACATAAATGACCATAAACGTTGATTTCTTTGAAGTATGTATAATCCATCTGTTTTATATACACAAGCAGTACATTGTGATAAAAGAAAATTTAAACACAAGATAATGGATCATTTAAAGACGTTCAAATGTAAATGAAGTAGATGTTTTATTTGTTTGTTAAGGTTTAATGCACTTACTCATTATCCCTCATGTACAGACTTAATCAAGCCGAGTCTGCAATTTTCATGTAATTGTGCTGTGATTAATGCTTCCGAGGGGTACTTCACAACAGCAGGTGTAAAGTGCCCTGTGGCAGCTGTAAATAGTTACCCCGTACTTCACTTAAGTGTTGTTATATTTTTCAGGTCCTTCGAGATCATTGATGCCAGCAGTATTAAGTGTATAATATTGAGTACCGCTCAAGCCGGTGCTAGGGGGCGTGAGGGATGTTGCACTTGTTCATTATCCCTTATGTAATGACTCAATCAAACCGAGTCTGCAATTTTCATGAAATTTTGTAAAAGTGATCCCTCGGAAGCATTACCATCAGCAACAATACTTGTAAATGGCAGACTCGGTTTGATTGAGTCTGTACATAAGGGATACTAAAAAAGCGTCATCCCTCATATCCCTTGGCATCGGCTTAAGCGATAGTCTCAGAGCGGTACTCAATTTCTAACACTTTAAGTGATGGAATAAATGATCCAGAAGGACCAGAAAAAATAAAACAGCGTCTCTCTTTTCAAAATTATATATATATATATATCAAAAAATAAAAAAATAAAGATTCTTCTGTCTTTCCAGTGTACATGTCGACATATTAGATCTTTTAATTTCAAAGCATATCAGAGATTCTGTTTTTGTAATTAATGTGAACAAGACAGAATAAGAATCAATTACATGGCAGATTGAAATGACCCCTAAGCGCCAATATTGTCATCACTGTACCTTGTGAAATAAAGATGTTATTTTCTAATAATATAACTTGAAAAATAATAGGTTTTTAAATTTAAATTGAAATTTTGTTTTTGTAGAACCTTTTTTTCAGTATAAAACAAAAAACTCTCTGTTTAAAAGGAAAAAAACAAAGAAAAAAGGGTTCTTTTGAGAAGTTTGTATTGGACATTTACATTTTTTTTTGCTTTAAAAAGTCTAAATTGGTAAGTTATTGGAAAAAAAGTCAAAATCGTGCAATTAAGTTTTTAAAAATTTAAAATGTGTAATTCAAAAGGGTTTAAAAATATTCTGAATTTAAATTCATGTGAAAAGGTTGAAAATTAAAAAATTACCTATGTTTACCTTTTAAACATTTGAAAAAATTTGGGGAAAAATTTTTCCAACGATTTTTTAATACTATTTAACTTTAGTATTATTCTCTTTTTCTGTCTCTGTTTTGAAAACTATTATGTTAGCATGAGGATTCATCGGCTTTCATTGCTTTTAGAAAAACACAGATCATAGTCATTTCACAGCATATTTTACAATATAGTTTATTTACTTGTACTTAAATAAAATTATCATATCGCGGCTTAAAGAATCGGGATTCAACAAAAAATACATGTATTGAACAATACAGAAAAATGACATCGATGAAAAATGTGAGAAATATTAGTTTTACGCCAATAACTTAGTTTTAAAAATGGCGACGTGGTGGTCTAAGTGGTTAAAAGCATCGGAACTAATAATCTAAGGACTGCTAACAGCGTGGGTTCAAACCCTGGTCGGACGCAAGCCGTTGTTT